GTAAACGTCAATGGCAAAGGAAAATAGGCTGTTTGGGGAGTCTTGTTCACGAGAAAAAAAAAAAAAAGAGGTCGATTAAGGATAAGTATGAATATTATAAATCGACTAGGTCAATCGACTTACTGTTTCAAGGCAATTTCTGTACTTGGTGGAGGAAGCGATACTGGAGTATGTTGTGTGGAGGATCAAATTTGAGCTTGCCGATGGGATATCCTCTGTGGCCTCATCGGTGGTTGGCTCTTGGGGTATGATGACCGATGGTATGTCTGTCTGGGAGGATCAACCGCTTGCTCGGTTGCATCGATTGATTTCGGCGGCTTGCGGACGTTAGGGCGTATGTGGGGATCGGCATGGACTTCTATCATTTTGGGCGTGCCAAAGCATCTGTTAAGGCTTTGCGCTTTGCTTGGGCCTCAAAGCGGTTGGCTAGGGGGCATCGGCACTTGTTGGTTGTGGAGCTTGAACATCCGTACGCTTGCCGATGTACCCATTTGTTGTTGCAAAACAAGTGTAAGGTATGATATTTAACAGATAAAATGTAAAATCAAAGGAATACCTCGAAGGTTTGTCGAGGTAGTGGTGCTTGATGTCGAGGAATTGCCGATGATGATCCAAAGCAATGGCTCTTACACCCGATGATTAATGTTAATACGATTTGTGATCGGCATGAGTAGAAATAAGCGAGGTTGTTACCTTGAATGCCTTGATCGGGGTTGTAGCAAACAGACCAATGGAGTGGCCCTAGTCTGTAGCCAATTTGGACTTGGAAGTGATGGTCTTGGCACGAGTCTTTCGGTGAGTCAAAGCGACTAAGGTGGGGCGTAGTAGCCGATCGGTGATATCGGGAAACAGGTCGAAGATCGAAGGGTTTCCACTTTTGCTCATAGATGGTCTTTGGGTTGTTAACTTTGTCACGAGAAAGTTAGTTACCGATATATGAAAGGAAAAAGCAGAAGGGAGTTAAAAGAAACTTACTGCGTCATCGGGAATAGTGTATTCAGGGTCGATCATGTGCCGATATGTGTGAGCAGATATTGCAAATAGTTGTTCCCTCCACTCTCGCCACCATTGCTTATATGATTCGGTGATGAAAGATGTTGGCGTCCAGATGGATATATCGACATCTGTAGTATCGGCATCGGGGGAGAGTAGCACTACCCTGCTCCAATCTGTTCCGCAGGTGATTGTTTCTCTAGGTTTGATCACATCGGCAAAACAAAGTTTGATTGGTAGTTGCCCAAAAGCCAATTGACGGGATACTGCCGATGGATTGTAAAATTCATACGTGATATTGGTGTTTTTCCCGCTACCGAATGTGTTTACTGGGATTGCCCTGGGAGTAATGATGGCCATCATGAGTTCATTATCTTGATTCAGAGTGTCATCGGCAAAGTTGAAGAGAAGGGGGAATCTATTTTTTTCGTCAATATAAGGTACCCAGGCCCTATGATCACGAGAAAGACCATTGTAGAAGTTTTGGAAGAATCTGCCGATCTGGTCTTCATTGGCCTCTGTTCTAGGGAGGACAATTATGGCTTCACCAAAATTGAGGGGTGAGCGTGTTGCCGATTCCTCATCCCCAAGCACGTGGTCTTCAGCAATTTCTCGTGGGAATTGTTGGGCAAAGAAGTCCCATTGCAGACGTTTTTGCATATGGGCATTCAGCCACATGTTGATAAACCACCACGGGCCTCCTAAATTGCCGATGGGTTCGCCAAGCAAAAGTTTCTGAGACACTTGATGAAGAAGATGATAAGTGGAGCTCAGAAGGTATCGGCCAAGAGGAAACCTTACACCATTGGCCAAGAGTTCAGCCGCGGGGAGGAAGGCGTTGGTTGGTCCTACTGATCGACCATAGAAGATAAAATTTTCTAACCACATATTCAAGAATGTGGCATGTTTCCTCTGGTTAACTGTCCCGGTCCTCTGGCATTCTTGAATATATCCCATCCAACCGCCGATGTTGCGGGTATTCACCCTATGTTCAGATTTTCTGCCATAGATGGAACCTTCATCGGCAGTTGAAATGTCCAAGCCAGTGAGCATGTAGACATCGGCAAGTGTGGGGGTAGCTGGGCCATGTCCAAACATAAAAGTATTTGTTGTGTCTGACCAGAAGTAAGCAGCTGCAATCATCATTGACTCGTTCTTTTGCATATCAGCAATGGATAGCCTAATGCATTGGTCTAGCTTCCATTCTGCCCAGTGTACTTGCATCGACCTGTTGACCCTCAAGTACCAATCTTTCCACCCTTTGGTGGTTTTTGGCCAAGATCGGAATGTATCTTTCCATAAATTCAGAGAGAAATTTTGGGCTCTAAAAGAAATGCATTAATGATCGGTTGGAATGGAAACTAATCGGTTGAATAACTAATTTGTTGCGAAGTTCCTAAGTTTAGAGGATCGAAGAACAAAGAAAAAGAGAAAAAATTACCAAGCTGTATAAACTCGCCAAGACCGGAGGAATCGAGGTAAAAAGTAATGGAAGTGGAACGAACCGCGGGGACATCGAAGTTGATTGCCATTATCTTGAGGTAGATGGGGCACGAGTTTGGAGACTCGAGGTTGATTTGGAGAAAAGTTCTTGTTGGTTGAGGTCGCTATGCAGCTTGTTCGCTTGAGTCGCCGAAAGAGAGAATGCCAAAGGTTGGAGTCGAGGGTAGAAGACGAGCGCCCGGAGAAATCTATTTATAAGCCGCTTGGAGTAGGGGTATTCGGACTTATCTCTATGCCATGCGCATATGGGTCGAGGTGGTTCAGATGGATATGGTAGCGTCGCACGATAATCAAGGTATTGTCTGAGATGATTTGATGGCAAGTAATCATGACTTGGAAGAGATCTCGATGACAGGATATTTTAATTCTAAAATGGCGGCATTATTATGTTAGGATCTTACCGATGGATTATTGTTTTGGTATCTTAACTATAATCGGGGCAAGAGTGGTTGAAATTGTGCGATATTTCTTGAGGTGCGTGAATCGGGACTAGATTTGATTAGATTTGATAATGAGATCAAGTTTTGGCTTGGAGGATGAGTTTCTGTAATTGGGCAAAGGCAAACGTTATTTGGAGTAAATTTCGGAGCATTAATGGTTTTATACTCCAAAATTGGGGGCATGTGTTGACAATTTTTTGCGTGTCAAAATGATCGAGTGGGCTAATCGGTAGGAGGAGAGTTATCTTTGTATCTGTTGTGTACCGTGAAAATCAGCTTGTAAAGATGGTTGCCGATGAATGGTGGTGATCGATGGAAAGGTTGATTTAGACTCGGGTGTTGCCGATAAGGTTGGAGATATTAGTGTCGATGCCGATGAAGGAAGGCTTGAAAACTACTGCCGATGAAACAGGAAGTATGCCGATGGAAAGGAGGTCGGTGAGAATTCCATCGTAATCGAGGCGGACAGGGAAATAGATAGGAGGTTATTTCCTTTTCTATATTTGTTAGAGTATGATTCATGTAAGAGTCACGTGTTTTCTTATATATGGACTTGGTGTCCTAGTCGTATTTGGTTTTGTCTCTTTAGATCAGGGTATAAATATAGATTGAGGGGCAATGTAATAGGGATAGAATCAATATCAAAAACCAATTTTTACTCCTATTTGCATTTACTTACTTTTCGACGACTTCGTCAATTTGCATATTTTTCTTTTTTACGAGTTCTCATTGATTCGGCGAGTTGCATCGTTTCAGTGCAACCTTCGGTGATTCTCGAGTTCCGCGTGAGTACCTCTTGGCCGTGACTTCCGGGCGTATCGCTGTTGTCAGGACCAAAGTGCTGTATCTTCATCCTTGTCGATTAATAGGTCAAATCGACTGGCACGCTTTGGATATCGATTCGGGTATTAGCCCTTTGTGTTTGCAGATTCACTTTTGCATCAACACTACCACTTTATAGTTTTGAGTTTTTTCATTTAAGGACGTTAAGATGCTTAAAAAATAATATAAAATTTCAGGAGCATAATAACCGCATACTAGTACTTGTCGTATTAGAAAAATAATATCGTTTCTGTATGTTGTCAAATGAAGATACTTTTTATATGAAAGTTGTAGCTCTCAATGAGATCTACAACTTTGTAGCTTTGAGTTTTAACATTTAGAGTCGTTAAGATGCTCAAAAAATAATATAAAATTTCAGGAACATAATAACCGCTTACGAGTACTTGTTGTATTAGAAAAATAATATCGTTTTTGTATATTGTCAAATGAAGATACTTTTTACATGAAAGTTGTAACTCTCAATGAGATCTACAACTTTGTTGTTTTGAGTTTTAACATTTAGAGTCGTTAAGATGCTTAAAAATAATATAAAATTTTAGTAGCATAATAATCACGTACTTGAGCTTGTCTACAACTTTTATTTAAAAAGTAGTTTTATGTGACATCAAATAAGAAATATACGATTTTTCTAAAAAGATAAATTTTGATACACCATTAATATGCTGCTAAAATTTTATATTAGTTATTAGAGTATGTTAACGACCTCAAATTTGAAAAGTCAAAACTATAAACTTATAGATCTCATTAAGGGTTATAACTTTAATATAAAATGTATCTTGGTTCAACACCATAAAAAAGATATTATTTTTAAAATGCGGCAAGCGCGAGGTACGCGATTATTATGATGCTGAAATTTTATATTATTTTTTAAGCATCTTAACATTCTCAAATAAAAAAATTCAAAACTAGAAAGTTGTAGATCTCATCGAGATCTACAATTTTCATATAAAAATCATCTTCATTCGACGTTGTATTGAAGAGTTATGGTTTTTTGAAAATTTAGTCTTGTCACGCCACTCCCGGTGACGCGACAAGACAATACTGTCACGCAACCGGAAATGGCGAGACAAGCTTTTTATATGTCGGAAATGCCATCTAGCATGGTAGATATTGTCGCGCCACATGCGTTGGCGCGACAGCGTTGTTTGGTCGCGCCAGCGGGACTTGCGTGATCAAACGGGTTAGATCTGATTTTTTTTTGGAAAGGTTATTATTGAAATATTAATTAAAAATTAAAAAATAAAAATTCTCCCACAGCGGGCATATTGACTTCCAGCGGAACCACTTGGAGATGCAGCGTCGGGGAAAGGTGTGCGCGTAGCCCGGCAGCTCCACGGCCTCCCCGTACAGCGCGTCGAAGCAGACGCTGCAGTCGGCCTCGCCGTCGCCTCCCGCCACACCATGGTTGTTGCCGAGCTCCTTGCACCCCGTCATGAGCACCCGGGCCGCGTCGTAAGCACGTGGCGGGCCACCGCTTTTAGGGGAAGTCAGCACCCATGGCTCCCGAGGAATGGCACCAGGAAGATGTCGGGAAAGCTCTTTTGCTTGGACTACAAGTAGTGGTAGATAGCCGAGACGTGTAGGTACATTGCCCAAAGCCCCAAACCAAGCGTGTTGGACAGGAAAGAGCAGACGATTGCAGCATGTTTTTTCTCTTTTTTTTATACAATAATAGTAGTTGTGTTTGAAGAAACCAATACAACTCAACAAGCAATCTGTATGCTGACGTGGAGAAGAAAAAAAGATAGAGAAAAGAGACGGATTATAAGCTTAGAACAAGCTTATGAATGAGTCATAGATGACTGTATAGATGGACTGAAATATAGACTGTAAACTTCTCTACACCCTGTAGCGGGCTGCATTATACAAGCAAGTTAGCAAGTACAACACAAACCAAAAGACAAAGATGAATGCTAGCTAGTCTATCCATGGCGCTCTCCACGGGTCCAGAGTTCTCCCTTGATCGATCACATCACATGGCGTAGGTGAACTCGGCGATCTGCTTCTGCAGCTCGGGGTCCAGATGCTTCACCACGTCGCCTCGGCACAGCGGGCACGTCGGATTCGGCGGAACCACCTGGAGATGCACCGGCGGTGGAAGGCGTGCGCACACCCCGGCAGCTCCACGGCCTCCCCGCGCAGCAGTGCGTCGAAGCAGATGCTGCACTCGACGTCGACGCCGCCCTCCTCTTCCGCCGCACCATCATCGCCGATCTTCTTGCACCCCGTCATGAGCACCCGGGCCGCGTTGTAGCGGATGTGCTGGACCACCGCCAGGTCGACCTCGGCGGCGCCGTGTCGGGCCCGCGCCTGTGGGTCCGCGAGGTCGGGCACCACGTCCTCGGGCACGATGGACTCCCACTTGCCATCGCTGAGGCTCAGGTCCTGCACAGTGCCGGTCCTATAATTTTGAGGCAGGAACTCGTCACGAAGGTCCTCGAGACTACATATAAAATCTTATAAATTATAGGCACTAATTTTTGTTGTAAAGCCAAAACAAATACAGTGATATGTTTTTAATTGAACATGTTCGATAGTTATCGAGGAATAATGTAAACTAAAACGGTCCAGGAGTGGCCTGTAAACTCCATTTCTCTCAAAATGTAAACATCTTGTAAACATTATCGTGGGCCCCGAGGGCCAAATAAAATTCAGGTAGCGAAAACTCCCCCGGTGACCGTAAAAAAAGTAAACTAAAACAATATTATATTTATACTTCTAAAACTAATATGATTATCATAAGGAAGAATAGAACTCCATAATATCCATTGCTTCTTATAAAAAGATACTTCTTCGGGCACTTTTTGATGCAGAATCATCAAGGACAGTATTGAGATCAATAGTGTCCACTTATGTATAGCACCTGTCGGTGTTTCAAGTAAACACCAACTTATAAATTTGTATTTCTTGCACGTTGGGCCCGGATGGTGTGCTAAAAGACACAAGGTTTATACTGGTTCGGACAGAATGTCCCTACTCTAATTTGCTGCTGCTGCTCGTGTTATTAGCACTGAAAGGTTCATAATAGAGGGTACAAACGGTCGAGAGAGGGACAGGTCTCAAGTCTCTGATGGAAAGGTTGAAAGGGCGCTGAGAGTTTAGTTGCTGCTCGGCTGTGTGTTATGTGATGCGTGGTGTGTTGAATTGATCCATCCCTTTAGTGGGGTGCCCTGCCCTCCCTTTTATAGATTAAGGGGGAGCAGAGATTATAGATGGAAGAAAGAGGAAAAATTAGAGGCAGAGAAGGTCCTTCGAAGGTGCCGGGTCTTCCTTTTCCTTTGAGCCTGCCCTACTGACACGACAGACGGTGCCAGGGATACCACGTTCGCTGATCCTGATAGGGCCGTGCTCTGGCTCCGTTCAGCAAGTGGTCACGTCCCATCCCACTCCGGCGGGCGGCGCGGCACGCCAGGGTGCCGAGCCATGACCCTACGGGGAGCTGATGGCGTAGAGGCCCCACGTTCGTTACTGTAGATGACATGAGTTTCCTCCTGAATCATAATGGTTGTCGTATGTTTCTGTCAGCATTCGTGTCCGAGGGCGAATGCCGGCGCCCATAACACTGTAGGACAAATGTCGGTGCCCACAACAATGTTTGGGCTCTGACATGCCTAGAAGGGCTTAAAGCGCCTATCTAGTCATATCCTGATGGTACTTTCCTACAGGCGTGCAGGGTATGGTCCTCGGTATTGCGGTTGACTTGAGTGCCCCGCCTTATCTGCACGCGTAGTTATGAAGGAGTAGCGCATAGACGTTGGACGAGGCGGTGTCTGCCCTCAGACGTCGGACGAGGCGGAGCCTAGCCCCTGGACGTCGGGCGAGGCAGAGTCCAGCCCTCGGACGTCGGGCGAGGCGGAGCCTACCCCCAGACGTCGAGCGAGGTAGAGCCAGCTCTCGGACGTTGAGCGAGGTGGAGCCATCCCTCAGACGTCGGGCGAGGCGGAGCCAGCCCATGGACATCAGGCGAGGCGGAGTCTGCCCCCAGATGTCGGGCGAGGCGAAGTCCAGTCCTCGGGGGTCGAGCGAGGCGGAGCCAGCCCTCGGACGTCGGGCGAGGCAGAGTCCAGCCCTCGGGGGTCGGGCGAGGCAGAGCCAGCCCTCAGGGGTCGGACAAGGCGGAGCCAACCTTCGGTCGTTGGGTAAGAAGTGTAGTTGCGTTCTTATCTGTTCGGAAGTATCAATGTTTGATGGTTATTTGCTCCTCCTCTTTAGGTACCCTAGTATTCGGTCCCCGACAGTAGCCCCCGAGCCCCTGGGTGATTCGGATAGAATCGCCCAGGGGGTGATTTGACTTGCCAGAGGGTGCACGCGAGCGCATCCGACGGGTGTAGCCCCCGAGCCCCCGGGTGATTCGGATAGAATTGCCCGAGGGGTATTTTGGTCTGCCAGAGGATGCGTGCGAGCGCACCCATCGGGTGTAGCCCCCGAGCCCTCGGGTGATTCGGATAGAATCGCCCGGGGGGTAATTCGGGCCCTTCGCGGGTATGACTACGAGATTTGGTGTTTTGATAACTGGATAGATTGATTGGAGTCCCGGTATCCTGTTCGCGGGGATCTGGCAAGAGTCAGCCTGGCCGAGACTCAGTCGTGGGTCGAGATATTTGTGGCACTCGTGTGCCTAGGTTTTGGCCGCTCATGGGCCCATCCTTTGTCGTAAGGCTGCCTTGGGACGGTCGTCAAAACCATTGATGGGCCAGCCCTCGAACTCCTAGGCCCAGGCGGGCTAGAGGAACGCTTTTTGACCCGTATCTCTTCTGCTGGTAAAGAGTCCTGGTCCACCCGGGAAGGCAAACTGTCCAGCACGTCTTTGGAGGGAAAGGATAGGGATTGCGGGTGCATATCCTGCATGGTGACGTGGTGGCGAATCGTGTCAGGCGCAGAGATCCAGGCGGACGGTTGTCTTCCTCGCATTCATCGCCCCCATAAAACCAAAGGGTTCGCCCTTAGGGTTTTGTACATTGCATCCTTGTCTTTGCATCTACAACCTCCGCCGCCAATCACTAAGCCTCCTGCATCCCTATCTTAGCCACTGTCAAGTTCGCATCCATCCACCCCAATCGTTTAATGGAGCCGTGGTGTAGATCCAAAGTCACCCTCCAGTGCCTGGAGGGCCTCATTCGCCGCGGCCTTCTTTGCGCGCGGACCGCCGCCGAGGAGTGGCGGCTGCCCAACAATGAGGACGCGCCGTCATCGCCTGAAGGCTACGTTGTGTCCTTCGCTCATTTCCACGAGTGGGGATTTGCCACCCCCGCCCACAAGTTCCTTGGGGGGGTTGCTGCATTACTACAATGTGGAGCTATAGCACCTTACTCCCAATGGGATCTAGCACATTGCGGCGTTCGTCGCCGTGTGTGAGGGGTTCTTGAGGATTAGTCCCCACTTCGACCTGTGGTGGTATTTCTTCGCCATCACCATCCTAAAGAAGTGGGAGAAGAGGCAAGAGCTGAACATGCCAATGGGATGCGCCGGCATCCAGCTCCGCAACAACCGGGTCAATGAGTACCCCGATGCATGTCAACCTCCAATAAGGGGTGGCATTCGCATTGGCTCTACGTTAGGAACGACGCAGCTGCTCCCTTGCTAGAGTTTACCGGGCGCCTCATCGAAGAGGTCCTAGACTCATGGAGGAAGTGGGGGTGTCGGAGAAAGATAAGAAGAGGATCCAGGACCACCTCACCGCCATCCGCATCTTGAAGGAGAGGGGCGTGAAGGGGTCAAGGATCATCGGTGCCTACCACATGTGGAGAGTGGCGCCGCTGATGAGGCGTGCGCTTCCCCTGCACATGATGGCGCCCGGGGTGGCGCTTGATGGGACAATGCTCGTCGAGGGAGCGCTCTTCCCCTCCGAAGTGGCGCAGCGCATCAAGGTGGCGATGGAGCCTTCGTGGGATGACACCGGTGCCATTCTTGATTTTGTGTATCCGGTGCTGGGGCATCCCCCAATGTGGCTGGAACCATGTTACATTGACTTCGTAAGTTCTTTTTCCCCATGCCTCTCATTTAATTGAACTTCCAACCCCTTGATGCTGATATTGAGATAGGGGAACTAGCCAAAGAGACTCATCTTTATGGATCACCCAGCCCCACTGCCGAAGGAGCCGCTCATGGTGGCAGCGAATCACACCATGGCCGAGTGGTAGAAGAAGGCCAAGGAGGATGAGAGGAGAAAGAAGCAACATAAGTTGCGGGAGCGGGAGCGAGGGGAGGAGACAGATAGATAGTGATGACGACAATGATGAGGATGACAAGGTAGTTACCGACACTGAGTGGGACAACCTGGCAAGTGAGGATACACTGACAGGTATATACTCGTCCGTTCAGGGGCCTTTCCCATTCCATGCAGGGGAAAGCACGTCTGCGGGGCCAGTGGAGACGGACTGAACCATCTGCCTGCCCTAGGAGACAGCAGGAGTGGGTGGGTCTACCACCGCGCCTGAGGTGCCAGCGCAGGGGGGTGGCCTCGTCGTCGTGCCTCAAGAGCTATCAGGCGTGAGCGGATCTGTCGCTGCACCCGAGGTGTTGGTGGAGGGGGGCGGCTTTGCTGCCGTGCCCCAGGACGCAAGGGAGTCAGGTCCCTCTGCCTAGGAGCAGGGGGTAGGCTCAAAACAGTCTTGTCCCAACAAGGCGGAGCAGGGGCCCGAGGGTTCGTCCCCCAAACGTCTCCACCGCCCAATAACGCCAACGTAAGTCACCAGCTTCTCTATTTTCTCTATTTTCGTCTGTTTTCATTATGAGTCATGCCTTTTGTTTCTTCTACAGCATCAAGAGATAGGCCAGGCAGGGCACTTCTTTAGCACTGGTGCCCAAGAAGAGCGTCGCCCTTCAGGCAAGGCGGGGGCCATCGCCTGACGTCGCTCCCGTTTCGGGCGAGAGCGGAGCTGGTGTCGTAGCCTCATCGACCGGTCAGGCATCACCCGTGGTGGTGCCCGTGCCCTCGGTGGGTCAAGTGGTCGGTAAGGCTGAGGGGGTGCCCTCAGAGGTTGATGAGCAACCGGCGATGGAAGCAATTCTGCTGCCGACATCGGAGCGGGCGGAGCTGCCAGCCGCACTCGTTGTGTCAACCACGGTAGGCGTGGCATAGCCGAACCAGGTCTCACCGATGGAGGTGGAGGTGATAGAGGCTATGACGGATGGGTCGCAGCTAGAAGCTACGGTGGCAGCGCCCGAGGCAGCGGCGCATCCCGTGCTACCGGTGGCCCAAGAGACAATGCCTGTCGTGGGCAGGACGGAGG